GGAAGAGGCATTACAAGGGATAAAAGCTGTCATAGGTGAGAGCAGACCCTCAATATTATGGACTGAATAATGGGAAAACCCTCCCTATGAACACCTAAAATACTTAAGCACACACTTGAGCTTGTAAGAAAGTAAAGGAGGTTTCCAGGGACTGGAAACAAAGAATGCAAAGTAAAGTAAGTCTTCACTTAATCTTGTTGATAGGTTCTATGACTTTAAGCAAAACAAGGTATATACGAAACCAATTTTACCATAGGCTAATTGATATAAATAAGAGCTAAGTTCCTACAGCGTCTCATCAATGTTATAATGAAATGATGTTTATATAGGAAAAGAAGAAAGACAAAAAATTAACGAGTTAAGCATTTACTCCAGAAATTAAAAAGAGAAAAACAAACCCAAATGTGGTCAAAGGAGTCCAGTTCCCTCTGGCATTCTCTGTCCCTGATGGGCCAAGCTCGCTTCAACTTTGAAGACGTTTTCCCTTGCCTGTGAGTAACCTGCAGTTTTTGGAGCTTGTCTAAGTGGCTATCTTGAGGAAGGAGCTGCCGTGCCTGACTGCCTTGAGGGGTCCACCTGCTGGCCCAGCCTCCGGGATAGGCCTGCCTGCCTGTGATGGCCAGCTGTCCCAGACTCACTCCAGCCGTAGAGTCACTGGTAAGAGAGAGCCCGGGACTGGTTCCAGACACAACTTTCTCATAAATTCTGGGAAACCTCTGGCAAGTCTCTGGATTTCAGCTTTCACCTGTATAAAGTGGAATCCGTATCTTAAGATTCCTAAATGGGAAACAGGACAGTGTTGCGCTTGAAGAGACTCCCAAACTGGTAGCCTCTGCATAACATCTGGCCCTCGGACATGTATTGTTTGGCTTGCATGGTGATTTAAAAATTTTTGAATGAGTCGCTAATATTTAAGAATTTGGAGATTTCATATAAAAAGGAGCTTCTACCTTCTCTCGAAAAGCAGGAAGCTGTGGCAGTGGCGGGTCCTGCTGCTAGAGAACACCCATGGCGGAGATGTATGGTATCTCTGCCCGGTTTAAGAGGCGGTCCACGATTCCGAGGCTGGAAGTCAGCCTCCGGCCATTCTGTTCACTTATGTAAGTGCCTGACCCTGAAGATACTGGAGTGAAAGCATAGACTTTGGAGTCCCCCATCTCCAAAACAGGCTCTTACACAGCACCCCCTCTGTATCGGGATGTCATGTAAAGTGCTTAACGCAGTGCCTGGCTGCTTTTTATGATCAGTATCATTATCAGTAGTAATTATAATACATGCAACAAGTTGTCCGAGAGGAACTCAAATTTGGAATATAAAGTCTGGCAGCATATGATGGTTGATGAAGCTGTGCCAGTGGGGTCTGAGGCATGGCTTAATGTTCATGGGAGGTTTGTCTGTGGGCAAGGGCTCTAGAGCTGAAGGTGGCCATCCCATTATCTCTTGTGGGGTTTAGGTAGACATGACAGCTTTCTTTCTTTCTTTCTTTTAAAAAATTATTTATTATTATTTATGCCTATAGCACTCGGTTTTCCTAGGTGGCCTTCCATCCAAGTACTAACCAGGCCCGACCCTGCTTAGCTTCCAAGATCAGACATCAGGCTTATTCAGGGTGGTATGACCATAGACCATGGACCATGGCTCCACTGGGGCACGAACCCAGGACCTTCTGCATGTAAAGCAGACGTGATGACAGCTACACTATGGAACCACATCCAACATGACAGCTTTCAAGTGCCCAGACAAGGATGCTGAGCAGGAAAGTGAGGTGGGGTGGGAGGGTTGGAGATAGGGTCACATTCCTTAGTTGATGGAGGCCTGTTGGGTGGGAGACCTAGGGCCTCAGAAATGCAGATATTCTTAAAGAGACCTCATTAGAATCCATTGGCTGCAGAGGCTGGGACATCTGGTCACTCATGCTTAAAAACTCCCCCGTTGTTCTTTACAAGGTCCCTCCCTGTTTTGCAGCTTCTGAGGATCCACAAAGGCCACACAGCACCCCTCCCCTGACATCTGACTTCCTGCATCCCTTCTAAACCAGAACTAAGATATAGTCCTGGTTTCTCTGGACACGGAGCTGCTATGAGCCTTGTCCAGAGGCCATATCCAGACCGAGGGCTTGCTTTGCAGCAGGAGCGAATAGGATTAGATAGAGGGAAGACTTCCTCACAGTAAGGTGGTTGAACATTGGCTATGTTCCCGTGGGAGATGGTATAAGCCAAGCCTCCTTTTTGTTCCTCTCTTCCCGTCAACTGCCTACTTGAGGGTTGAATCTTATGTGTGGGGAGTCCAGAACTGTTCAGATGACAGATCCTGGCAAACCCCAACAATCTCTTTCTTTAATTTAAAAATCAGTCCTAGCCTCACTTGGCATCCACCAGGAGGGAGTTCCTTTCTTGGCTGGTTTTCTTAATAAAGTTCGGCCTGGGACAGGGTGCTGACAGACACACAAACTATCTGAATCCACTGCCCTACCTGGAATAGAAAAGCATCTCCACAGAGGACCCAACCAGTGGACACTGAGCTTGAGTCTAAAGCTTAAAGGCAGGAGCTTCTGCCAATGAGTCCCCTCAGCTAGCACAAGGGATGCTGCTGGTCCCCCCACCCACCCCACTGCACCCTAGTATAACGGAAGTGAGGCCCAGAATAACCTACCCAGTGCTACCTGGTTGTGTCTTTCGATGGAAGTGTTCTTGCATCTGAAGGGAGGATAGGGAAAGTTAAGAGAACATGTCCCATCTGCCTGGATAGTTGAAAGGAACTTTGGAAATTCTTGCTTGCTCAACAGGAATTAGAGGTGCTCATTTGGTTCCAAGCCACTTTGCTCTCCACAGAGATGTCTGAAACCAATCTGCACCCTGTTTCAGATCTTTGGCCTCAAAGCCAACAACTTGCTCACCATTGTAGGCAGATAAAGTTCTCTAGAGGCCCCTTTGGTTTAAATCAGCACTCCTTCAAGATAATCTTTATGCCTGCTTGAGCTGCCTCTGGGAGTAGGGGGGTCCTCAGGATGCCCCTGGACCAGCTTGACCCCTTTGGCTTGGTGCTTAAGCCAAGACATAACCAGGCTCCTGCCCCCTGCCCAGCATATGCTTTTGACAATAAATGCCTACCACTCTCTGCCCTCGTATCCACCCAGCCCCCGACGCATTCCTTCTCCTGGCTTTAGCCCAGCCCTTCCCCTTGATTGTGACACTCCAATGTGGCCCCCATCCCCAGGCTTCTCCCTCCTCACCCCCAATCCTTCCTGAGGTTCATGTCCCCCTTTATGGCCAGACTGAAGAGGTTGGACAGGTTCCCCCCAGGCGAACAGCCGCAGATCAGGATTGCCAGTGCCTCAATGTTGTTCAGCCGGAAGACCTTACCCAGTACGAAGGCAGTGAGGGGCATTATGCCATACCGTGCCATCAGAGCAATGGCCAGCCTTCTCGGCTTCCAGAAGTGAGCCTTGATCTTGCTGAACTCCATGGTGCAGCCCAGTGACAGCATCATGATGAGCAGCATGAACACCTGGATGATGCTCACTGCCAGGTCGGTGGGGCGCTTGCCAAAGTTGGGTGGCAGGGTGAAGTTGAGTGGGGCTGACGCGTTGTGGGCCTCCATCTTCCTGTGTGGCAGCAGAAGTCGAGAGTCCCAGCACACCCCTGGCTTGCCTGCCGATTCCCTCCCCTGTTCAGTTCCTGTTGGGCAATTTCTTCAGTAACCTTCCAGTGCAGAGTTTCAGGACAAATGGAGCTGGAGCAGGCCTGAAATGTCCTACTCTGTCGGATGGTCCAGACCAGAATGCAAATAGAAGGATTGTGCAACTGACTATGGCCCCAAACTGGAGAGGAACCACAGCCTGTATGGCCTGGCCTGCCCTGACTCTCCTGAATTTCTTAACCTTTCTGGGTGCCACTCACTCTCCTTTACAGCTTTGCTGCTTAGGACAAGAGAACTTGTTTCTCTCCTTTGCCTCGCACTGAGCGCTCCCACAGACAACCTTTTCCTGGGCCCAGCACAGGGCCTCCAGCCCTTCTCATCCTCTGCTCAGTCTTTGATGCCTTAAGAGGGTGCCCTCCCTATGCCTAGTGGGTCACCTCCATCTGCCCCCAAGCCCTCAAGAATGAAAAGAATCAAGTGTTGACTTTCCTTCCCGGATATAGGTAGCATATCCCAAGGGGTTGTGGGACAGGGCAGGTATGTCATTAGCCGTCAGGAGGGAATGTGTCCATGGTTCTTCCTGTGTCTTTCTCGCCTGTACTAGGGAAACTCTTGTCCTATCCCCAAGCTAGGATGTGTGGGTCCCCGGGGAGGAACACGCTTACTTCTGGAGAGAAAAGCCTGCGAGGATGGGGCTCTTAGGAAGTTTGGGGTGTCTTTCTCCAAAGGGCAGCTCTGAGGGCACCCTGGCTGTGGAGGTTTGTGTCCAGACTCCCTGGCCAGCAGCCTGGGGGAGCCCCTGTAGCTTGGAAAACTTGCTGAGGAAGAAGGAAGATGCACAGGCTTTTCCCCTCACCAATTTTCTGGCAGCTCTACTTTTGTTTTATGGCTGTGTGTCTCAGGCTGAGAGCTGAGCTCTGGGCAATGCAGCAGCATTGGAAAGAGAATGGCAGAGAGAGGCATGCCTGAAGCAGAGGTGTAGCTTCATAGCTCACTTACCTCCCTCAAGTCTTTGCTCACATGTGACCTTCTCAGCTAGGTCTTTATGATCGAGCAATGACTAGGCACCAGGCACTGAGCCTCCTTCCTCCCATCCCAGTGGCAAGGTAAACCTTTAGATGTGAGGCAAGGGAGTAGTCTTCAGAAACACACTTGCCTCTTGGCTGGCTTGGAACCCACCAAGCCTGAGTGCGGTGTCATAGTTTCATATTTGCCGAAACAGGAGATTAAGTTTTTTTGTGTGTGTGGGACTCCAGAGGGCAAGATAGGGACCAGGGGTGAAGCACTGTAGGGTGAGAGTGGGGACAGCTTTCAGCTTGGTATGTAGAAACACCTAAAAATGAACACTCTCCAACAATGGCCCTGAGGGCCTCTGGAATTCTGCATAGATAAAGGTTGGGCGATAGGATCCTCCACATAGGGCTACACAGATAATCCCATGGATGAGCAGTAGTTACAGGAAGCAGCCTATGTCTGGCTGATGGAAGCCTGGAAGTCTGGAAGGCTACTCTGTCCCCCTCTGCAGGAGCCTCATGCAAATGACCACCTATTCAATAATGAGTAATACACAGTATCAAATTAAATCCACTGTAAAGTAAAAGAATAAAAGAGTAGCAAAAGTTTTCCACAGTTGCAGAATAGTCACCAGGAAAACGTTGCCACAGAGCAGATGAAACTGTCCAAACATTGTGTCACTGAATTTAAAAAAAAATGAATAATTGCTTCTGTGAAGGAGGACCACAAAATAGATATATAAGAACACAAATAAAAATTTTTTTAAATCACCATTTTGGGACCTCTAATGTAATAGTTTATTCAGGTAAAGATCATCAACAGATGCTAAAAAGTAATTGAGGAATGGGATATTCATGTGGTGATGAAGTATCACCATTCACCATACAGATTAATTAGAATTACAGAGGGAAGGTATGTACCTTTATATCGGCAAAACCTGGCAATTACCCACTTTAACCAAGTGATTAAACTTGGAACTACTAATAGTGAGACGCTTGAAATCATGTGCCTCTTGATGGAGTGCAACATGAAAAACACAATATAGTCAAAAATGTGTACTCTGAATCTCGTCAAACCTTTAGACCTGACTGGCACTTTCTTTCCCATTTCCAGTAGGAAATACAAGAGTTATTAAAACAAATGAAATATAAAGAACTAACCACACAATTCTAGAATATGGAACATTTTACAAAACAAACAAAAAACTGGCATGTACTCTGAAACAAGTAAAAGTCATGAGAAAAATTGGGGGTCTATTCTACATTAAAAGAATAAAAAGGCATTTCCAAATGCAATGCATGTTTGGATACTAGATTAAAAACATATTTAAAAACATTTTTGGGGGTGACGGGAAATTTGAATATGGACTACATATTAGATGATATTATGGAATTATTAAATTAGTATTGTGGTTAAGTAGGACAATGTTCTCATTTTAGGAGGTGCAGGCCAGTGTCTTAATGGATGAAGTGTCATGATGTCTGCAATTTACTTTTGTGGTGTGTGTGTGTGTGGAGAGAGCAAAACAGATATGGCAAATGATAACAGTTGATGAAACTATGTTGAGAATATATTGCTACTCATTGTATTATTCTTCCAGTATGTTGGTCAGTTTGCAATTTTTCAAAATAAAAAGTTGAAGAGAAAGAGAACACAGGAAAAAGATGGTGAGATAACAGGAGACGAAGCAAGGCTGGCAGAACTCAGGAAAAACAAAATATCAGAGAGCTAAAGATGAAGCGGAAAGAATACAAATAATAGACAGTTACGAAAATCATAGTTAAGGGACATGGAAGAGAGAAGTGAGAAAGGCAAATAAAATAGAATGGCAATAAAGAGTTAAAGAGTAGAGAGAAAATGGTAGAATAGAATACAGGGGAAGAAGATTCAATATGTGTATGGAATTGGAGACTCCATAGAAGAAAGCCAAAACAATGGAAGAGATCAAATACGAATACGATATTCTGAAATAAAGACTTTAATTTATACTGTGTATCTGAAAAAATTAAACCAGACGAGTCAACCTAGAGATACAGCTTAGTAAAGTTCTTAGACTTTAAAGATGACCACTCCAGTAAAACGATCAAATCACCTATAGGGGAGAAAACTCAGGCTGGCCTTAGAGTTCTCTGCAGCAACATTTTATGCCAGATGATGGTGATGTAATACTTAAAAGATATTTCAGGGAAAAAAGTGTTATCCAAGTATTTTACATCTAGCTTAGTTACCATCCAACTATAAAGACTACAGATAGTCTTAAACATGAAAGAATTCAGAGAATGTTGATTCTATGAACCTTTCTTGAGGAAATTATCAATGGATGTTAGTTAGCCAACTAGGAGATAACTTGGGGAAATTATGGAAAAAATATTGGCAACAAGGTTTGAATACATTTATTGTGGAGTAAAAGCTATACCTTATTCTACACGTTAGAGTGATTGAGAAAGATGTAAAAATGATGTGTCCTGACAATATATAAACAATTAACAAATATTGGTAGAGGAAGGTAGAAAGTAGATGAGAATTAAAGTTTACTGATTGCTACTTCTAATAACTAGGAGTCAAAAAATCATTCCTCAATGCTGACAAATCAAGTTATATAATAAGCACTTTTAAAATACAAAGATTAACTCTGAGAAAGATATTGACTATAAAGTAGGGTACAAGAGGAGAAGAAGAGAAGAGGAAATGTACTTTTTTATTGTTCATAGTAAGGAACTAATAGACATTTGTTAAATAATAGAAAACTAGAGATATCATTTAAAAGTTTTTATCATACAAGTAACAACTAGAGCAAAATTGAAAACCTTTTTTTAAATTTGAGAAGAATTATAGCAACAAAGATAACAGGCTACATAGTGAAATCTTTTTAAAAATGATCAAAACAAAGTATAATATACTATTAATATGATAGAACTAAGGCTAACATATGTAACATATAAATACATGTTGAAATAGGCTTAACCCACCTATTAAAGGAAAAAAGATATTCAGACTCTTCCCTGTGATAAACCTACCTTTAGACTGTAATCAAGTAAATGATCCATCTAAGAGAAAATATTGTCCAAAAGGTCGAAAATAAAAGTATATACAAAGGTCTATGAAGAAAATGCAAAGAAAAGAAAGCAGAGGTCATAATCTTAATATCACATAAGGCAAAGATGAAGAAATGTACTTTATAATGCTCACAGATGCCATTCACAAGAATGAAAACCTATGTACCAGATAACAAAGCACAATATTCATCAAGATGAAGTTACAGGAGATACAGGGAAAACACAGACAAGAAAATAAATAGTAGGACACTTAAATTCATTTTTCTCCATCAATTACAGATCATCTGGAAAAAATAAATTGGGATATAGATCAAAATATATTTAGAGAAGCAGACACAGGTTTACAACTTCTTATTCAAAACTTTCTATAATTTTTTGGAGTTTGGTAAGGTGATATACAGTATATTATCTAACATCCCAGCTGGGGCCTGGGACAGTACCATAATCAAACACATCAGTTTTTTGCAGTGACTCATATGATGAGTAAAGACTACAAATAAGCCTCAAGCCAGTACAGAACAGGGTTTGAGGAATTACAAACGAACTTTCATATTTCAGAACAATTTGGATTTGGGAATTGTAGAGTTGGGAAGGTGAATCTGTATTCGATCCCACATAGGGAAACCTCTAACTTCTCACTGTCTCAAAAAGGAATGAAGTACCTTGGAAGTGCCTGTCCTTGGGGCTTGCGTGGGTGGGAGATGGGAGAGAGTCAATCAGAGATGACCATTTTTTCATGGGACTCAAGTATAAAGTGGGGAGCTAGACAAGGAGACTATCAAACACCTGAGAGTCTAGGATTAGGCTAGTTGAGGGAGAGGATATGTTAGTGAAGCAGGGATGAACAGAAGGGGTTCACACAATCCCAAGGTAAGCATCATCTGTTAGTTATGTATCTGTTGATATTAAAGCAAAATGGTACCTGTTCAATATTCTAATGTGGTTGGGAAATACATCAAGCTGCTAAATCAGCAAAGATAGCACACACTCTCTTTAATACACTCTCAGAGGATTGATCCCATTCCAAAATTAATACAAAATGTGCTAAAAAGGTGGGGTGTCGAAAGAACAACCAGCATCTCCTCCCTCACCTGAAGGTGGGGTACTTCTGAACTCCTCTTGTTCCACAAGACATATCTGCAAATGTCTGAATTTGATGCTGCATAGCTGGGGGTCTCGGAGTTTTTAGGGTGGTCATGGTAATACTCATAATAGAGAACTTGGCCCATCTCTGAGGCAGCGCAGGTGAGTGCAGGTGTGTGCAGGTGTGTGCAGTTGCGTGCAGGTGACTGGAGGGCATTAGGTTTTTCACAGACCATGATCCACTGACTTGATGATTATAAGCAAGAACTGGGGGTTGGGGAAGACAACTCTCTGTGTCTTACCACTTTTACTGAAGAAGTTCTTCAATATCCTCCTGGAATTACTCAGGCTGGGCTTACTGTCACACTCTGTGGTTCCTGCACTATTCAGCCTGGAAAATGATGAGGCCGATGGAGTGGAGGTCAGCTTCACCCCCTGAGGCACTTCTTATCTGCTTGCAGATTTACCCACTTGCAAATGTGAGCAAATATTCTGTGTCCTGGAGAGAGCAAAGTGCATGGGAGACTATAGGCCCCAGGCGGAAAGCGGGACACTCACAGGGTCAGGAGTCCTTTGTAACATTGATTTCCTTAAGGCTGAAACAAAATCACACAAATTACATGGGTACATTTTCGAGGTAGAAAATAAAGATAAGACGAAGAAGAAAACAAAAATCTCACCATCCAGAGATAAGCATGGTTAATGTTTTAGTCCGGTGATTTCCACCTGGGTTCCTAGAGCTCTTAGGATTCTGTAGAGGCACTCCTAGGGCTTCATAAATGCTGGTTAGAATTTAGTCAAAGACGTATAAGAGATTTGGACCATATAAGCACAGCGATAAGCAAATGTGCAGGTGAGCTTAGATGAGCAATAACCTTATGGGGGCCACCTGCCAGCCTTGAACCCAGCCCCTCCTGCCTCCCTGGGTGCTTACTTGCACTTGTCATAAATGTGCTTTGGTCAGCAGACCTGCAGGGGTACCGTGGGAAACCATACAGAAGCGCACACTAAGGCAGTACGCTGTGAGGTTCTGGATTATAAACCCCCAAGGCTCAGGGCTTTCCCTTCCACACACAGTCGGTCACCTCCTCGGGAACATAGGCTGCGCCACAAGAAACGAATGAGTAACACATCCTGGTGTCGTCATGTCACATAATAGATCATTTTAGCACTAGGTTTTTATTTTTATTATTGAGCTATCTTGCAATAGAAATATCTCAATAGGAATACCTTTTAATAAGTGGCAAGATGATAATGCTGAGTATTAACTGTCCCCATGCCTAAATCCACACTCTCCCGCACCCTGTGCCTCTCTTCGGTCAGGCTGGTAAATTCTCAGGTCTCTAGAAGAGGATTTTAAAAATGTAGAGAAAAAGAAGCATGTAGATACTCAGCTTTATCTATCTATCTATCTATCTATCTATCTATCTATCTATCTATCTATCTATCTATCTATCTTTATGGTGATATTGGTTAACGAAATCCAATAAGTTTCAGCTGTACACTTTAACAGTAAGGCATATATATATTTACGCTGTGTGTTCCCCTCCCATAGTTAGATTTCTTTCTGTCACTACATATTTGACCCCCTTTACCCCGTCTACCTCTCCTCTCCCCGCACCCTCCGCTCTGGTAACCACTAGTCTATAGTCCATGACCATGAGTCTCTGCTTGTTTGTCCTGTTCATTTGTTGTTTTTAGTTTATATCTCACCTATAAGTGATATCATGTGATTTTCAACTTTTTCAGTCTGGCTTATTTCGCTTAGCATGATTATCTCGCGGTCCATCCGTGTTGTTGGCAGTATTTCATCTCTTCTTATGGCTGAGTAATATTCCATTGTATATATGTGCCACAGCTTCTTTATCCAATCCTCTATCATAGGACACCAGTTGCTTCCATGTCCTGGCCACCGCGACTAATGCTGCTATGAACATCAGTGTGCAAATATCTTTTTGGGTATGGGTTTTTAGGTCTTTGGGGTAAATACCTAGTAGAGGGATTGCTGGATCATATGGTAGATCAATTCTTAGTTCAGCTTTATATTTGAAACTGAAAGCAGAGAAGAGTCTTGATGGCTTTCAAGACCAAGGTCTAAAGTTTCAGAAGGTCTGGGAGGGGGAGGGAAGAGAATCAGAAAGGAGAAACGAAACCCCTCAGAAAGGGCTTGTTCCCTATCCCCTCTACCCCACTCAGCGTCATGACACCAGATTGGCACCGTCACCAAAGAAATGGGGGGTTCTTAGGGCAGAGAGGACCTGCGCTACATCCCAGTTGGGGCCTGGGGGAATCAGCTGAGGTCCTGAGTCCCCTGCCATTCCCAGGAGGTGGAGACATGGTACAACTGGGCAGAGGGAGCCTGCACTGGTGAATTCCTCCTCTGAGACTCCTGTGGCCCCAAGGGCATGTGATTGGCTGGGTTTGAAGGAGCTTTGTGGTTGGGATAAAGGAAAGTGAGGTGCACAGAGAGACCATAACTGAAGAGTGTTCTAGGCAGAGGGAATAGCAAGTGGAGAGAGTCTGGGCTGGGGGCTCGTTTGGGGGACTTGGAGGGCAGCAAGGAGGCTCAGGTAGTGAAGCAGCCAAGGGAGGGAGCCAGAAGTCGATGATGAGGAAAGAGGGATCCAGAGCTAAACCATGCCGGTGCTTGTCAGACATGGAAAGGATCCTTCATTTTGTTCTCAGAGTGTTAGGAAACCACCGAGGGTTTCACAAAGGAGGCGACATGATCAGACTCTGTCAGATCTGCCTGCTTTGTGGAAAATGCCTTCAGCAGAGCAAGTATGGAAGCAGGAGACTATTGCAATAATCCAGGCTAGAGACGAAGGTTTCTTAGACTCTCTTTGGGCTGTCCAATATGGGGCCACTACCCACACGTTGGTTGTGAGCCCTTGAAATGCGGCTAGTGTGAATTGAAAGATGCCACAAGGGTGAAA